CGGCTCTCTCCGGAGGGGCACTGTTGGGTTTTGGGGGAGCGGCTCTCTCCGGAGGGGCACTGTTGGGTTTTGGGGGAGCGGCTCTCTCTGGAGGGGCACTATTGGGTTTCGGGTAGACAGCTGACTTCTGAGGGACACTGTTGGGTTTCGGGTGGACAGCTCTCTTCTGAGGGACACTGTTAGGGTTTTGGGGGAACGGCTCTCTCCTGAGGGGCACTGTTGGGTTTCGGGTAGACAGCTCTCTTCTGAGGGGCACTGTTAGGGTTTTGGGGGGACAGCTCTCTCCTGAGGGGCACCGTTGGGTTTTGGGGGGACAGCTGTCTTCTGAGGGGCACTGTTGGGTTTTGGGGGGACAGCTCTCTCCTGAGGGGCACTGTTGGGTTTTGGGGGGACAGCTGTCTTCTGAGGGACACTGTTAGTGTTTTGGGTGGACAGCTCTCTCCTGAGGAGCAATGTTGGGTTTTGGGCGGACTGCCGTTTGCCCTGGGGAACAGTGTGCAGCGGGACACTGAACAGCACCCTGCATTGTGCCCACTGGATGCCAGCAGCACTCCCCATGGTGACAACAAAATGTGCCCCAGGGAAGCAGCCTCTGGTGAGTCCCGTTTCAGCTGTCGTCAGGGCCAGGCCACCAGTAAGCACCTCAGGCGCCTGCTAGGACTCCTCCCTCTGTCACCAGAGACTTGCCCTCCCTGTGGTTGATGTTTAAATTACATTGAACGTGGCTGTGATTTGGGAGGGTTTAACATCTAGCCCTGGATGAGGATCAGACACCCTGGGCAGCAGTGCTGGGCCCTCCCTGGACGAGGGGCAGGCACCCTGGGTACAGTGCTGGGCCCTCCCTGGGACGAGAGGACTCAATGGATAAATTAGTAAGCAAAATGAGATTCCTCTGCACAATGGAATATTATTCAGCCTTAAAAGAGAAGGGAATCCGGTTGGAGGTCACAGCAGGGACCACCTGGAGGACATTTGCTGAGTGAAATAAGCTGGGCTGAAAGGAGGCATCCTGTGAATCCCACTGACATGAGGCCCTAGAGCAGTCAGATCCACAGAGGCAGAAAGTGGGGTGAGGGCTGCTGGCAGACAGCAGGACTCGGGGGGGATGGGGGTTTGGGAAGCAAGTGTTTAATGCTGGGAGACAGCAGGGGAGGGATGGGAGTGAGTATTTAATGGGGACTGAGTCGCTGTCTGGGAGATGAGAGAGTTCTGGAGAGGATGGTGGTAAGGGCTGCCAACTCGGTGAACACGGTTAATGCTATTACCTTTTACACTCAAACAGGGGAGATGGAAAATTTTATGTCTGTTTTACCACAGTTGAAAAATTAAAAAAAAAAATAAAGGGACTAAAGTGGGTAAAACAAAACAAGACACAGCAATCCTTAGTCCTAGGCTGGCTGGCCCCTGCTTGCACCGCTTGCTTTTGAGGGTGGCGTATGTGTCACTCTGCCTTTCGGCAGCACAGGTGGTGTGTGCATCAACATTTTGACTTGTGGCAAAAATCCAAGACTATAGAGAACTAGTGAATGCACACAAGCAGAGGCCAGCACGTGGCTGTGAACTAAATCTGTTGTTTGGAAATGTCTGCGATTAGCAGGGGACCAAACACATTGATGTTGTTGGTGATATATGTCACTTTTACTTTTTAGGTGAAGCCAAAAACCTTCCCTCTTACCCGGGGCCAAGCAAGATGAGGGATTGCTACTGCACGGTGAACCTGGACCAGGAGGAGGTTTTCAGGACCAAAATTGTGGAAAAGTCACTCTGGTAATGTCCTCTGTTGCTTTACTTGACACTGATGTGTTTTCTTCGGTGTAGCCAATGACCTGAGTGTGTACATCACCTTCCCACCTTCTTGTGTGTAGAGAATGTCCTAAATGTGTACGCCACCATCCCATTTTCTCACATATAATGTCCTGAGCGTGTATGTCACATTCCCATTTTCCCACGTGTAGACAATGTCATGAGCATGTACATCACCTTCCAATTTTCCTGCATGTAGAGAATGTCCTAAGTCTATCTCACCTTCACATTATCCAGGTGTACACACATTATCCTGAGTGTAACTCACCTTCCCATTTTCCCGCATGTAGAGAATGTCCTGAGTGTGTATACCACCTTCCCACTTTCCCACATGTAGAGAATATTCCCATTTTCCTGTGTGTAGAGAATGTCCTGAGCATGTACATCACCTTCCCATTTTCTCGTGTGTGGAAAATGTCCTGAGTGTGTACCTCACCTTCCTGTTTTCCCACGTGTAGAGAATATTCCCATTTTCCTGTGTGTAGAGAATGTCCTGAGCATGTACATCAACTTTCCATTTTCCCATGTGTAGAGAATGTCTTGAGTGTATACAACACCTTCCCATTTTCCCACGTGTAGAGAATATTCCCATTTTTCCGCATGTAGACAATGTCCTGAGCATGTACGTCATCTTCCCATTTTCCTGCATGTAGAGAATGTCCTGAGCCTGTACATCAACTTCCCATTTTCCCATGTGTAGAGAATATTCCCATTTTCCCATGTGTACAGAATGTTCTGAGTGTGTACATCACCTTCCCATTTATCTGCGTGTGGAGAATGTCCCGAGCGTGTACCTCACCTTCCCATTTTCCTGTGTGTAAAGAATGTTCTGAGCGTGTACCTCACCTTGCCACTTTTCTTGCTGCTTTTAGTTTGAGGAGGAGGAGGGGGAAATGCTCCAAGGGCTCTGGTGTTGAGGGGGAAGTGCTCCCCGGGGCTCTTGTGGTGTGGAGGGGAAAGTGCTCCCCGGGGCTCTGGTGGTGTGGAGGGGAAAGTGCTCCACGGGGCTCTGGTGTTGAGGAGGGGGAAGTGCTCGCCGGGGCTCTGGTGTTGAGGAGGAAGTGCTCCCAGGGCTCGTGTTAAGGAGGAAGTACTCCCTGGGGCTCTGGTGTTGAGGAGGAGGAAGTGCTCCCGGGGCTCTGGTGTTGAGGAGGAAATGCTCCTGGGGCTCTGGTGTTGAGGAGGAAATGCTCCCGGGGCTCTGGTGTTAAGGAGGAAGTTCTCCCTGGGGCTCTGGTGTTGAGGAGGAAGTGCCCCCAGGGCTCTGGTGTTAAGGAAGAAGTGCTCCCCAGGGCTGTGGTGTTGAGGAAGTGCTCCTGGGACTCTGGTGTTGAAGAGGAAGTGCTTCTGCGGCTCTGGTGTTAAGGGGGAGGAAGTGCTCCCCGAGGCTCTGGTGTGCAGGCAGCTGGATGTCTGTCTGGTGGTGTACGGATTTTAACTGGTGTTGGCTAAATGCTCTGTCTGTCCAGGAAGAGCACAAAGGTGATGGCTCTCGCCTGGACTCAGAGGAGTGCTTTTTAATTAGAGTGAACTGGGAAGCTTGCATTCCACAAAAGAGTACAAATTAAGGATTTCGAGAGGGGGAAATATTGAGAAACGTTTTTCTTCCTGTACAGTGTTCTAACATAGCCATACAGAAGATGGGTGTTAACTGAGGTAAGAGACCTAGAAAGCATTTATTGATATAATTTGAGGAAGAGAAGAGTCAGCCAAGAAAAACAAACTCTTAAAATTGACAAGTTTGCTCCTCGACTTCAGAGTGTGAAGATGTAGGTGCCACCACCAGGCTGTCCAGGGCAGGGCCAGAACTAGTGTTCTTGAAAAGCTCCAGTGAGGCAGCCCCATCATACTCAGAGGACCACTGCAGTCAAAAGCCAGGACATGGTGCACAGTGGGACATGCAGGGACAGGAAGCCATGGCAATTTATGTCAAGGCCGGGAAGAGAGAAGCTAGGGAGAGTGTACTGGGCAGGGCCTCAGTGCTGGGCCTTGGGGAAGCATGGGGTGCTGGGTTTCCGTGGAGCGGCCTGGGGGCCAGAGAAGATATCTGTGCAGGGCCTCAATGCTGGACCTTGGGGAAGCGTGGGGTGCTGGGTTTCTGTGGAGCAACTTGGGGATCAGAGAAGACCGTGCAGTGGCAACTCTACCATTCAGTTCAGAATCATGGGTTGTGTGCTTTCATCAAACAGCTATTTTGATTTTGAGAACATGTTTAGCTAAAGAATTATATCCTTGCATCTGGCTACTTCCAAGTGGGAATGAACAACCCCATCAGAATGTGTTCTGATGCCTTAGTGAATCCACTTCCTAGAAAACAGTGAGGGATCTCCTGCCCGGGAGAGACCAGCACACATCTCACTGACGGTGCTTCTAAAAGGCTTTGCCACAGCTACCCTTGAGGCTGAGGAGGGAGAGTCTTTGCATTACGTTAATGCACACTCTCAGTTCTTTGAAATAACTTGTCAAAAAGAACTGCAGGCTGAGGAACATCGTCAGGCATCCAGTCTGGCTTTGCGAGTGTGTCTTGGGGATTGCTGTGGCGATGACTGGGCATGGCCATTCTTCTGAAGGAAACAGGAAGAGACGTCACCGTGTCCTTCAGAAACGACTTTGGAGCTTCCCTGGATAAAAGTCTGTCCTGTATTTACACGGTCTGATGTTAGAGGCCTGTGGATTGAAGGCCAGGAGAACTGTGAGCAGTCTTTGTCAGGCTGGCATGCCCATCCCCCCGAGTCTCCCAGCCCCCTGAGTCTCCCATTCCCCCAAGTCTCTCAGCCCCCTCAGTCTCCCAGCCCCTGAGTCTCCTGGCCTTTTGACTATCCCATCCCTGAGTCTTCCAGCCCCCCGAGTCTCCTGCCCCACAGGTTTCCCTGGCTCCAAGTCTCCCTAACCCCCCAAGTCTCCCTGTCCCCTGAGTCTTCCCGCCCCCTGAGTCTCCCATCCCCCAAGTCTCCTGGCTCCCCTGAGGCTCCTGGCCCCCAGTGTACTTTCTTCAGTGTCAGTGTCACCTTTAAGGTCTGATCTTTCATTTGCAAAGTCACTGGAAAATAAGCCCACATCTGTGTCTCTGAGCTCAGAAGGACCCCAGGGTGCTCTTTGGCCAGTGGGTCTGCAGCACAGCAGGGGCCCCTCCTCATATCCCCTGGGGAGAAGCACTTGGGTCAAGTTTGATTTGCTGTTTCCCAGTATCACATCTTACTTAGCAGGAAGCTGCAGATGGAATGTGTGAGGAGGGAAAGGTGGAACTCACCTTCTCTTCCCTCTTTCCCACTAACAGAGGTTACTGCCCCAGCTCCACCAGAGACCTGTGTCCCCCAAGCCTCCCCCAGCATGTGGCCCGCCCCTAGCCGCACGTCCAAGGCACTGGGGTCTATGGGGCCTGTTTATCAAGTGCTGAGCCGACGTCTGGAAAAGCATCCTCCTCTGTTTTCCTGTGTTTTTCAAGGTGGGCCAGTGGAGGTCCAGGGGCAGTGCCAGTCACAGATTTAACTGCAGAATGCATCCAAGTGGACTCATTTCGGGGAATGAGCCCTTCCTCTCTGGCCTTGGCCCTTCTCCGAGAAAGTGATTTTGGCAGTTTCTGTCCCACTAGGAAAATATTTTCCTGATGTTGAGAGTGAACTTTGTTCACATTCCATACCTTTAGAGCAATCATTTTTAATCATTTAAAGGGCAGCCCACTATTTGTTTCTTTACTTAAACCGAAAGTATCCCTGAAATTGGATTGGCGGGGCTAGGGCTCGGGAAATAGCTTCCCACCCTGGGACCTCCCATGGGCCATTGCCCCAACCCTAAAACAAAGAGATGGATCCTCCTTCCCACAGCGGTGCTGTGGTGGAAATCACAGGGTCATCCGGCAGGAAATTGCAGTCAGCATCACACACAACGGCAGGAAGGAGCAGTCGGCGTCACAC